CTTGCAACCACCACTGGTTACCCACGAGACCATGCCAGTTGAAGTAAACGATTGGGGCTGTTCACAGGGAGTTGGCCTGTTTCCAGGTGATTTCTTCTCCGCACTATTCGGTGGTTCTGGGGTATCCCTGGCTCCAGACGCACAATCCAACATTTAATTGGCGAACGGCCGAGATTCTCTCGTGGTCTCCACAGTTTGGGGCTGGGTGCATCCGTGCGCCGGTTAAGGTGTTGTGTGCCTCCTCGGACTCTGCGTTGCCCACCGATTATGGGGAGTACCAGGACGTGTTTGATAAGGTACGCGCTGGTGCCTTACCTGCTCATCGTCCTTACGACTGCACCATATCCTTGCAACCCGGTGCCACTCCTCCGCGTGGCAGGGTGTATCCTCTCTCGGTTGCGGAGAATAAGGCCATGGAGGAGTACGTTGCGGATGCGCTTTCCCGGGGGCACATTCGTAAGTCTACTTCCCCAGCAGGAGCGGGCTTTTTCTTTGTAAAGAAGAAGGGTGGTGAATTGAGGCCTTGCATCGATTATAGGGGTCTCAATCAAATCACCACTAAGAATGCCTACCCGATTCCCTTGATTACTGAGTTGTTCGACCGCCTTAAGGGGCAACAGTCTTTACCAAACTTGACCTTAGGGCGGCGTACAACCTCGTACGGATCAAACAGGGGGATGAGTGGAAGACCGCGTTTAACACCAGAACCAGTCACTACGAATACCTGGTGATGCCCTTCGGGTTGTGTAACGCGCCCGCAGTTTTTCAGGAATTCATAAATGATGTCCTTCGTGACTTGTCGCAGCAGTGCGTGGTAGTTTACTTGGATGACATCCTGGTTTACTCTGCCTCCTTGGAGTCCCATATCCAGGATGTCAAGCAGGTGCTGCAACGATTACGTGAGAACAAACTTTTTTGTAAACTTGAGAAGTGCGAATTCCATCGATCCCAAATTGTTTTTTTGGGCTACATCATTTCTGCGGAGGGATTCTCCATGGACCCTCAGAAGGTTGCGGCGGTTCTGCAGTGGCCTCGTCCCAATGGTCTTCGGCCCATTGAGCGCTTTTTGGGTTTCGCCAACTACTATCGGAAGTTCGTCAGGAACTTATCCACGCTGGCAAAGCCTCTCTCAGATCTAACCAAGAAGGGCAGTAATCCTCACGAGTGGCCATCCGAGGCCATCGTAGCTTTCGAGGCTCTGAAATCCGCCTTTGCTTCGGCTCCGATACTGTCTCATCCCAATCCTGGATTGCCCTTTGTCCTTGAGGTTGATGCATCCGAGACGGGAGTAGGCGCTCTCCTGTCTCAACGTCGGTCGCCCGATGGACCCCTACTTCCCTGTGGGTTCTACTCCAGGAAGCTTTCCTCTGCAGAGTGCAACTACCAGATTAGAGATAGGGAGTTGTTGGCAATCATTCTGGCTCTCAAGGAATGGAGGCACCTGCTCGAGGGCTCCGCGGTTCCGGTCCTCATTCTTACCGATCATAAGAACCTGACTTATCTTTCGGAGGCCAAAAGATTGACACCCCATCAGGCCAGATGGGCCTTGTTCTTGTCGCGGTTCAACTATGTGGTCTCCTATTTGCCTGGTTCCAAGAATGTCAGGGCTGATGCATTATCGCGGCAATACTCTGAGTTGTCCAGGGAGGACTCTGAGCCAACCTCGGTCATACCTCCGGATCAGATCCTGGCTGCCATTCGCACCAGTCTGACTTCTCCCCTTGGGGAGCAGATTTTGGCGGCTCAAACTGACGCTCCTCCTGAGAGACCGGAGGGTAGATGTTTTGTACCCGAGGGGTTGCGCACCCATCTGCTGCGTACCTACCATAACTCCAAAACTGCCGGGCATCCGGGGAGGAACCAGTTGTCTTGGGTCGTCTCTCGGTTGTTCTGGTGGCCAACTCTCCGTGCCGACATCACCTCTTATGTAGCGGCATGTTCGATCTGTGCCCAGAATAAATCTCCACGGCATCTTCCAATGGGTCTTCTGCAACCCATTCCCAATGGGAAGCATCCTTGGTCACACCTGGGCATGGACTTTATTGTAGACCTCCCTGTGTCTCGGGGTCATACGGTCATTCTCATGGTCGTCGATCGTTTTTCCAAAATGTGCCATTGTATTCCACTCAGGAAATTACCAACAGCGCAAGAACTGGCCATGGTCTTTTCCAGGAGATTTTTCGCCTGCATGGGTTGCCCAAGGTGATTGTCTTGGACCGCGGGAGTCAGTTCATGTCCAGATTCTGGCGCGCCTTCTGCTCCCAGTTGGGTATTAGTCTCTCCTTTTCTTCAGCCTACCACCCGCAGTCCAATGGGGCTGCGGAGCGTTCCAATCAGGCCTTCGAACAATTCCTTCGGTGTTATATCTCAGACCATCAAGACGATTGGGCCGATCTCCTGCCTTGGACAGAGTTTGCCAGGAACTCGGCGGTAAACTCCTCCTCCGGGATGTCTCCCTTCATGGCCAACTATGGGTACCAACCCGCAGTATTACCTGAGAGGTTCTCACCATAGGACATTCCGGCTGTGGAGAACCATCTTGCTGCCCTGCGTTCTTCATGGGGGCAGATCCAGAAGTCCTTGAGAGACTCGGCTCAGCGTCAGAAGTTCCAGGCTGATCGCAGACGGTTGCCCGCTCCTTCATACCAGGTCGGCGATCAGGTGTGGTTGTCTACTCGTAACCTCAATCTTCAGGTGCCCACACCCAAACTAGCTCCCCGTTTTGTCGGTCCTTTTTTGCATTCTCCGCAAGGTGAATCCGGTGGCCTATGCCCTTGCCCTTCCGACTGGGATGCGGATCTCCAATATCTTTCATGTATCACTGTTGAAACCTCTGATCTGTAATCGCTTCACTACCTCTCTGCCTCGGCCCCGTCCCATTCGGGTTGACGGTAATGAGGAGTATGAGGTGAGCCGGATCCTGGACTCTCGATTGGTGCGCGGCCGATTACAGTTCCTGGTTCATTGGCGCGGTTATGGTCCCGAGGAGCGTTCCTGGGTTCCTTATGCAGATGTCCATGCTCCTGCCCTCCTCCGCGCTTTTCATACCCGCTTTCCTCAGAAACCTTTTGTTGAGCCACGGAGGGGGAGGGGCCCTTGAGGAGGAGGTACTGTCGAGGTCCTACCTTTTCCCAGAGGTTATGTTACTCCATGTGCTGGCATCCATCTTGGATTTCTGCTGAGCATGGTGGGAATCTTTTATGCCTTCAAGTCTCTGAGGTCCATCCCCCAGAGGGGTGTGGCTGAGTACGTATAAGCCTGTGATCCGCACATGCTCTTTGCACTTGTGTCTTGGTCTTGCTACAGCTCTGTGTATACTCCCGTGACTCTTCTGGTATCTGACTTGGCTTGTGACTAAGACCATTCTCTGTGTTTTCCTTTGATCTGACCTTCCGTTGCTGAACCCGGCCCGTGACCTGTGATTCTCTGTCTACTGTTCTGTACCGTTTTCTCCCGTTGTTGTCGACCCGGCCTGCCTGATTACGCTATTGTCATTCTTACCAGCTACACGCCATTGGCTGCGGCCATTACCGCAGCCGGGGTGTCTCGGGGGCCGCGACCTGGTTCCTGGCTGCGTCAAGTCCATCCCCACCATCAGGGGCCCTGGTGAAGGTCAGCCTGGGACTTAGACTCCGCGCCCTGAGGGACTTCGGTCTGTTGGTGGTGGTTGTCGTCAGCCAGTGCGTTACCCTGCCACTAGGCCTACCTGTCCGTTCCACAGCCCTGCCCTGACAGGGTCATTGTAAGCATTCCAACACTACAAGGAATGCAATAATAAATGTAAGAAAGTAATCAGGATGGCCAAGATAGACCTCGAGAAACAAATAGCGGATGAGAGTAAAAAAAAAATCCCCAAAAATTCTTTAAATATATTAATAGAAAAAACGAGGACAGAACCAGAACATATTGGCCCCCATTAAGCATGATGAAGGGAAGTTGGTTATAAATGATAAGGAGAAGGAAATTTTACTAAATGCATTCTTCTATTCAGTTTTTACTAAGGAAAAGGAGGGGTATAGTAATCAAGATTGCATCATTAGTAAAGCATCACAGAATGTACCCTTGTGGCTAACAGAAGCCTGTGTCCGAAAATGACTGGAAAAGCTTAACGCAAATATATCACCAAGATCAGATGGTTTACACCCCAGAGTCCTCAAAGAACTCAGTCCAGTTATAGACAGGCCGTTATTCCTAATTTTGATGGAGAGCATACTAAAAGGAATAGTACCAGCTGATTAGCAAAGTACCAATGTGGTATCAATATTTAAAAAAGGGCAGAGATACATTCATGGAAATTACTGGACGGTCAGTCTAACATCAATAGTATGTAAACTATTGGAAGGGATGATAAGGGATTCTATCCAAGATTTTGCTGATGAAAACCGTATCAGTAGTAGTAATTAGTATGGCTTTCCGAAATTCTTGCCAAACCAACCCGTTAGCATTCTATGAGAAAGTGAGCTGTAATCTAGATAAAGAAAGGTTTAGACTAATGAAAAATTATTACAGTTTCTTTATAATTATGAATAACTGTAATTTAAAAGACTGTATGAAACAAATAAAATATTGTTTTTGTTGTCACAAAGTTGCAAAAGCTCAAACTTCACAGAATATATTTAAATTATTAAATATTATATAAATAACATTTAAACATCGCAAGTTTACAACCAACCAAATGCAATACAGAAGTGCACCGAGAGATATGTGGGACAGGTAACAGGACTCACCACCAGAAGTACAGCAAGAGGCATACGGGGCATGTAACAGGACTCCGCCAAAAGTACAGCAAGAGACATGTGGGACGTGTAATAGGACTTCCCACTGACACCGCTGGTTGTGGAAGTGAGTTCCACATCCTTACCGCTCTGACATTGAAAAAACCCTACACAGTTTAAACTTCCCGCCCGTAGGACGTCATGTGACGCTTCAGTGGAGATACACTATATTGCCAACATTGTATTCAGATGTTCCAATCACCTTCATGGCCACAGGTTTATAAAATAAAGCACCTACACATGCAGACAGCTTCTACAAACATTTGTGAAAGAATGGATCGCTCTCAGGAGCTCCGTGAATTCAAACTTGGTACCGTGATAGGTTGCCACCTGTGCAATATGTCCATCCGTGAAATTTCTTTGCTATATTCTGCTGTCAACTGTTAGTGGTATTATAACAAAGTGGAAGCAACTGGGAACAACAGCAACTCAGCCACGAAGTGGTAGGCCACCTAAAATGACAGAGTGGGGTCAGGGCATGCTGAAGCGCACAGTGCACAGAAGTTGTCAACTGTCTGCAGTCAATAGCTAAAGACCTCCAAATTGTGTGTGGCCTCCAGATTAGCACAACAACAGTGCTTAGAGAGCTTCATGGAATGGGTTTCCATAGCCCAGTAGCTGCATCCAAGCCTTATATCACCAAGTGCAAAGCAAGCATCGGATGCAGTGGTGTAAAGCATGCTGCTACTGGACCCTAGAGCAGTGGAGACATGTTTTCTGGATTGACGATTCACGCTTTTCTGTCTGGCAATCCGATAGATGTGTCTGGGTGTGGCGGTTGCCAGGAGAAATGTACTTGCCTGACTGCATTGCGCGATGTGTAACATTTGGTGGAGGGAGAATTATGGTGTGGGGTTGTTTTTCAGGGGTTGGGTTTGGCCCCTTGGTTCCAGTAAGGGAACTCTTAAGGCGTCAGCATACCAAGACATTTTGGACAATTTCATTGCTGCCAACCTTGTGTGAACAGTTTGGGGATGGCCCCTTCCTGTGTCAACATGACTACGCACCAGTGCACAAAAAAGGTCCATAAAGACATGGATGAGCGAGTTTGGGGTCTTTGACCCTGTCCTTTTTTTGCCAGAAGTGAGTGCATTCATTTCTTATGTATTTTACCTATACCGTTAATAAAAATACTGCACAATTGGAGGTTTCTTCTCTGGCTCGTTTATTACGAGCCCCCCCCCCCCCCCAAGGTGGATTCCTGTTACTCTTGACTTACTCTCATGAGCATTTCCCCCTGCTGGGTGGTGGATGTTATTTCCTGGATCCTGGAGAGTGATGTTGTGTATTACCTGTCTTGCTGAGGTTTGCCAGATGATCCCCTGAATTACCTTTCCAGATCCAGATGACCAGGAGTGGTCTGGTTTAACCAAATGCGCATTATATTACGCTTTCTGGTTAGTGCAATATACATTCATTTACAGCCACTGGAATCACAGAATTCACCTGATATTTCATTGAACTTGGAATCTTTATATTACATTTGTGTCACTTGTGCACATTAAACGTCAATACCTAGACGTTCACATTAATGGCTATAGTGCTCCACAGCGCATGTTTATGATAATTGTAATCCTCCTAGACCAGGGGTCTGCAACCTTTAAGACATAAAGAGCCACTTGGACCCGTTTCCGAGAGGGAAAAAAAGACTGGGAGCCGCAAAACCATTGCAACATTTAAAACAAATCCGACACTGCATATATTGCGAAAAGCGCTCTGGTCATGAAGGGGGTTTAAGGGCCCAGTAAGCAAAGGGTTAACCAGGGCCACAGTGTATCGTCATAATCACAATCATAGCCTTAGGTCAGTGGTGGGCAACCTTTTTTTTCAACTGAGCCAAATCTCGCCAAAACCACGATTGAAATTTATTTTGAGAGAAACATTTTTGAAACTGAAAATACATCCCCCATATAGTAATTCATCCCCCATATAGTAATTCATCCCCCATAGTAATTCATCCCCCATATAGTAATTAATTCATCCCCCATAGTAATTCATCCCCCATATAGTAATTCATCCCCCATATAGTAATACATCCCCCATAGTAATTCATCCCCCATATAGTAATTCATCCCCCATATAGTAATACATCCCCCATAGTAATTCATCCCCCATATAGTAATTCATCCCCCATATAGTAATTCATCCCCCATATAGTATTTCATCCCCCCTATAGTAATTCATCCCCCATATAGTAATTCATCCCCCATATAGTAATTCATCCCCCATATAGTAATACATCCCCCATATAGTAATACATCCCCCATATAGTAATTCATCCCCCATATAGTAATTCATCCCCCATATAGTAATTCATCCCCCCTATAGTAATTCATTCCCCATAGTAATTCATCCCCCATATAGTAATTCATTCCCCGTGTCAATTCACTTACCTTTGCTCCGCGCGTTCCTCTAGCTGTGTTCCCGCGCCGTTCTGGTCTTCAGGGCGGACTGTGAGAGGAGAGGAGTTTGTCACGCTGCCCCGCCTACATCCTGACAGCCAATGTTTGGAGGAGGGAGGGGAGCGGGCGCCCGGCACATAGAAGAGCTGCATTAAAAGAGCCGCGGCTTGCCGACCCTATTGCCTGTCACCTGGTGGGCAGTGTGCTCCGGAGCCGCAGGAAAGGTGAAAAAGAGCCGCGGGTTGCCGACACCCGTCCTAGACTGTAAGCTCAAAAGAGCAGGGCCTCGAACCCCTCGTGTATTGTATTGTTACTGTCTTGCCTCATGTTCTGTCCCCCTTGCTACTGTACAGCGCTGAGCATACCCTTTGGCGCTATATAAATACTGTATAATAATAATAATAATTATACCATACATACAATTTATTAGATCTATTCATTTATATTATTTATAGTGCTGCATTTATTTGTTTACTGGTTTATGAGAAGGATTTTGAGGTTTTACCTACATGCTAGCTACTCGTCATTTTACCTAGCGCTCGTTTTATACGTTTAACTACAGATGATACTTCCCAACAGGTTTTGCCCAACCTAGGCTTCTTCAGGGGAAATAAGAGATATCTGCAATACAGTCTAGAATTATATAAAACAAATCACAATTAATAAAAAAATACACACCAAATATTTCAATATATATCAATGCAGTACATACACTTGTACTCAAAACAATTGTCCAGATACATATGAACCCCCCTGCTCACCCCTTGGGAATCCAATATCAATGTTACTCTTTGGAGCGAGGAAAAACGTGTTGAATCAGGGACTCAAATATCCACATGGTTGCAGAAGGCACACAGAGGACCTGATTCTATCAAAACATGTAAAAATATAGATAAATCCGCTTCGTAAAGGACATCGATGATGAAAAGCTTAGAGCGGTGCCTTTGATTGTGAGGTTCAGAATACTCCTGGTTTGTCTGCACGTTGCATGTGCATGTTTGGCTGGGTCTGAGTTGCCTATATTCATTATACATGCTGTTTACACTGGTGTCAGTCTGGACACCTTGCTTTGATGGTCTGATCATCTCTCAGTTTGGATACTAAATCACCTTTGGAGTGGATTTTCTACTTTGCAGCACATCATCTGTTGGAGTTCATCCCTCATTTCTTCAGTGTTGTTGCCACCATATTATTCATTTCTCCCAGAATAACAAGTACTATATGCTGGTTTTTCAACAATCAGCATGTTACTCTGGTGAGTTCTATTTAACCATTTTTGGTGGTGGATTTACTTGGTGATGAATTATTTTGGACATTATTGATTATTTGAACTTTTGGACTTTTTTGTTTTTTTCTGGATTTTATTTTGATTTATAATATTGTTTCTTATTGTTTTGTTATTTATTTTCTTGTTATACTTTTGCATGCATTTAAGCGCAACCTATTTTTTTGAAGCTATTCAGTACTACTGAAAAAAAACACAACAAATACCAATGAACCTGCCTGAATATTATGAATTGTCAAATATATAGCATAAATTCATATTGGTAAATACAATTCATTAGAATTTACCAAGATAGAATTGCCAACAAGAGCTGGATGAAATTGATATAAGATCTCAATCACCAAATTATTGCATAGTGTAACACAGAAATAGTGAGATTACCAGATAATATGTCCATAGTGTGTGCAGTCAATGGTTAAGTACAACAGAGTTTCCAAATCTTAGTGTGCCTCAGCGCTGGAACATAACCCATGTGGCCAAGAGACTGACTCCATCTTCATCGGCCATTTTATGTACCTTCCACCTGGCCGGCGCCTAACATCATCGGCCAGGCGTGGACGCCCGTTGTGTCACTGCGCATGGGCTGGATACCGCCAACATATATTCCCATATAGCCAAGGAGCAACTGTGTAAGGTAAGGGTTTTTGATGGAAACAGCACCACCTTTGCTCGGAGGGCCAGTTAACTGATGGAAAAGACTGACCATCAGACATCACACCATCTAGTGGAGGAAAAAGGTTACCAACATACACACATATGTGGATACTGCTGGCAGCTTAAGGGTGGTGAGAATCCCGCCTGTGGTTGGAAAAAGGAGCCAAAATTGTACGGACCCATTAGGCAGTGAACACCATAGTGGCGCGTCCCCCAGATATTTCCGCCGACTGCGCCCTGAACATCCATACAACCACACAATGGGACACAGGTCCACAACTCAAAGGAGGAATAATATATTAACCATAAAACAAACAGGGGGATCATCATTCTGGACAATTATTACATCTATAAACAAAAAGGTTGATAATACAGTTACATTAAATACACTTATAATAATTATAACATATAAAAATACATGAGATCACAGTAAAACACCAATATATGGCCAGAAAAAGCAGGGTGTTTTAGGGCAGGAAATTGTTATAGAAAAGGTTTATAAAGCTTAAAGTTTCATTCAGACTTGGATACCAGGTGGCGTTTAAATTGTAAATCCAACGACATGTTGTAACAATTTTTGGTCAACATTTCCTCCCCGTACATGTAGGGGGATGGGTTCTAATGCCATAAACCTAATCATTCCTGGATCAAAATTGTGGTAAAGGCCCACATTTTGGCTAATAGGGGTTTCCATTTTGTTGTTTTTAATTAGGGACACATGATCCCTATTTGTTAAAAAAATAAGCTTTTTGTTTTGCCCACATAAAAGTAAACTATAGCTGGTGTTTGGCAGGTGATTCTATGTCCAATTCAATGAAATAAACCATGAGGGAGCAATACCTTATGGTTATTATACATTAATGGACTGAAATTATATTTTTCACAGGAGAATGTACCTGTTCTCCAGATTGGGGTGCCTTGATTTGGTATAATGACTTTTAACCAATCGATCCTTTATTGAGCTCACTCGTTTGTAAGTAATGGTAGGTTTAGATTATATATAAACTTACTAGATGTAGGGTCAGCCAAAAAGTGGCAATATTTGTTCAATATCCCTTTTATTTGTTGATGTTTGGAGTATGTAGTTTTTATCTGTACGTTATGGTCATTGTTTTGGTTTTTAGTGCTATAAACTAATGATTGACATTTCTGTTTTTTAGCTTTATTGTAGGCTCTCTTCAGGCAACTGTGGCTGTATCCTTTATTCCTCAACCGGGCATAAAGGCTACCAGCCTCTCTCACAAAGTCATCATCTTTACTACAATTCTGCCTCAGCTGGAGGTACTGACTATATGGAATACGTTTTAATAATGGCTCAGGATGTGAGCTAGATGCATGTAAAATAGTGTTCCCTGCAGATGGCTTCCTGAATAAGGAAGAACCGAGCAAGCCATGCATTTCTACAAATAACTCTACATCAAGAAAGGTAATCCTTTCTTGATGGCATGTCATTGTAAATTTCAAGTTATGACTGTTACAACCAAGAAT